GGGGGGGGCGATGGGGTAACCGGGAGGGTAGCGGACAGCATAGGTGGTGACATTCATGAGGGCATTGGGCGGGATTTCGCCACGCGTGGAGGTGGAGAGGCTAGCCCATTGTGTGGTTGATGAACCGGGACAGCGACTAGACTGAGCACTGTCACCGCATTCCATGGCCGGCCCGGCAGTGGTGTAGTGAAACATTCTGCCCTCCGGTACGACCATTGCTCGTCCTGAGCAGCCCAGTTTTTCCAAGTCAAATTGCCATTTTCATTCACCTCCACCATCTTTGTCTGAGGGTCGAGCCAAAGCTCACGGAAGGCAGCCACGGCTTTCCTCTTGCTCTGCCCGTCCATGGTCGCCGCTACCACCTGCATGAGTTTTCTGCTGGCTTTTACCAAATTAGCATGAATGACCTCTACTAATTCTGCTTTGGCTTGATGGAGACCGAAGGCTGCTTCTTGCCTTTCCGCTGAGCACCTCTCACGCCAGATGACCATGAGGACCACCAGCCTCATATGTTTGAATAGATTGCATTGAAAGGGTGTGTTGAGGGGATATTCTTGCATTTTCCTAGTAGAATAAGAGCTACATCCCAGTGGAACACAACACCCGTGAGCATGTGCCACATCGCATCCCACCATTGCCGCACCCTTTTCGCCATTGGGCAGTCGAGGAGGCAGTGCTCGAGGTCCGCCCTTCGCGGTTGAGTGCCAGGTCCACAGTGCGTACAGATGGGGGACAGGACTCCCTTCTGCTCTAAATTTGATCTGGTTGTTAGCCAGTCCGGTGTCGGGAGGCATCGATGGGTTATTTGCCATTGGAGGGCTCTATGGGAGGTGGGCATAATGTGAGCATACGTAGTCCATGGGATGTGACAAAGGTCTTCCTCAGACAGCGGAGAATCTCTCTTCCATCTGCTCTTGATGATCGTGGTGGAGGGTTGGAGGACATGGGCCCTCTTGTAACCCTCTTTGACTGAATATTGCCATATCGGGGTTGGGTTGCAGCCCTTCCATTCCCACTCTTGCGGATCAAAAGGCAGGTCACCAATGGGGGTGGACATCTCGTATGAGTAGTATCCTGTGTCTTCAGATGCCATGACCCTGATTCTTATTCATTCATTTTCCGGGAGTGTGCGGTCCAGTGCCCGGTTCCTTGTCAAGGAGGCCCACCTTGCCCCCGGCACGTCTGGTTCGTAAGCATGCCCTTTGTGTGTGACGTGAGACACCCTGAAGATAGTCATGGGGATCGGGTTAGGAGTAGCCTGTATGACCCAGGCAAGGCCACGCAACACCGGCCCTTTTTGCAAAGTAGTTACCCATTGAGGTGGGACAGCCGTTTGTAACTGTTGCAGCTTGCATTGGCTCCCCTTGATGTGTTTTTTAGGGTGTGATGGA